AGGCGCCAGGCTGGAGTGCAGTGGCGCAAACTTCCGCTCACTGCAACCTCCACCTCCCGGGTTCAAGCAATTCTCCTGCCTTAGCCTCCCGAGTAGCTGGGACTACAGACGCACACCACCATGCCCAGCTAATTTTTTATATTTTAGTAGAGACGGAGTTTCACTATGTTGGCCAGGATGGTCTTGATCTCTTGACCTTGTGATCCGCCCACCTCGGCCTCCCAAAGTGCTGGGATTACAGGCGTGAGCCACCGCGCCCGGCCTTTTTTTTTTTCTTAAGGTGGGGTTTCACCGTGATTACCGGGCTAGTCTTGAACTCCTGACCTCAGGTGATCCACCCACCTCAGCCTCCCAAAGTGCCAGGATTACAGGCATGAGCCACAGCACCCGGCCAATTCTTGGATCTTAAAACATAAGTGTGTTTGAGCACTTCTGTGAAAAAAAAAAAATATATATATATATATATATGTGGCTGGCGTGGTGTGTTGACCAACTCCTATAATCCCAGCACTTTAGAAGTTGAGGCAGGTGGATCACCTCAGGACAGGAGTTTGAGACCAGTCTGGCCAACATGGTGAAACCCTGTCTCTACTAAAAACACACAAATTAGCTGGACATGTTGGCCGGCACTTGTAATCCCAGCTACTCAGGAGGCTGAGGCAGAAGAAATGCTTGAACCCGGGAAGAAAAGGTCGCAGTGAGCTGAGATCGCGCCACTGCACTCCAGCCTGGGTGACAGAGCAAAGAAAAAACCAAGAATCCCTGGTGGTCTAGAGAGAAGAAAGAAGGAAAAAAAAAAGATATATATATATATATATGTGGCTAAATGTACAATTCTGCTCTTATATGATGTCTATTTAATCAAATTTGTATTGAAAAATTTTATTTTAAAAAGCTGAATTGTATAAAATATTATTTAATGTATATAAATATAAAATCTGGGCCGGGCGCGGTGGCTCAAGCCTGTAATCCCAGCACTTTGGGAGGCCGAGGCGGGTGGATCACGAGGTCAAGAGATTGAGACCATCCTGGTCAACACGGTGAAACCCCGTCTCTACTGAAAATACAAAAAATGAGCTGGGCATGGTGGTGCGTGCCTGTAATCCCAGCGACTCAGGAGGCTGAGGCAGGAGAATTGCCTGAACCCAGGAGGCGGAGGTTGCGGTGAGCCGAGATCGCGCCATTGCACTCCAGCCTGGGTAACAAGAGCGAAACTCCATCTCAAAAATAAATAAATAAATAAATAAATAAATATAAAATCTGTATCTGAATTCTCTAATATAATTTAAATTTGGGAAAAGTGATTGCTATAAATGATAAATCATGATGAAATACATAAATTTCTGGCTTCTAATAAACTCAAGAGAAATATGTCTCATAGTAAGAGCCGGGTTTTTTCCCTAATTGTGTAATTGAAAATCTGCCTTTTTAAGGGGTTTAACTGGTGTTAGTATTTGTAAAGGGTCTGGAGTTTTTATATAAGTGCTCAGTGACTTACATGGATGAGGCTCCATAATAGAGGATTGAGAGTCATTTAAATGCTTCCTGAGGCCGGGCGCGGTGGCTCACGCCTGTAATCCCAGCACTTTGGGAGGCCGAGGCAGGTGGATCACGAGGTCAAGAGATTGAGACCATCCTGGTCAACATGGTGAAACCCCGTCTCTACTAAAACTACAAAAAATGAGCTGGGCATGGTGGTGCGTGCCTGTAATCCCAGCTACTCAGGAGGCTGAGGCAGGAGAATTGCCTGAACCCAGGAGGCGGAGGTTGCGGTGAGCCGAGATCGTGCCATTGCACTCCAGCCTGGGTAACAAGAGCGAAACTCCCGTCCCAAAAAAAAAAAAAAAAAATGCTTCCTGAACAAAATTCTGAGCTTAAAACCTTGCCTAAATCAGTAGCGCCTAAATTCAATGTGCCATCTTATAATTTCCAAGAACACGCACATTAAGTGAATATTTTTATGTCTATGTTTGTGGAACGGTCTGTTCAGGGCCCTCATTCTTCAACCTTTTTTTTTCAACCACCTTCTCATTAAGGAGGCTTATGTATTAATCATGGTTTTTCATTTTTGGTTTTAGAGTATGAGTGAAAGGAATCAAAGTACACTTGGAAAAGGGCCAAGTAGATGACTACATTTGCTCATTTCCCAGGCTCTTTTTTCTCCTCTGGATTCCTCCCTTGGGTAGGCTGTTGCTGACCACTGCATGCACAGTAGTCTGCCAGCACTTGGGAGGGGCTGCATGCACTCTTTGTTTACTGACGTCAGGCACATACTCATTTGGGGTGATTTTCCCTTATGAGTCAAGCACCCCCAGAGGAAGGTCAAATACCAGTCAAATTCTGCCATCTTGCCACATTTTGTGCATGCTTGCTCCATTTTGTGCAGGGATAGTGGGTCACTGGCTCCAGGTGTTTTTTATCTGTTGGAAAACTCTTTTCCCTCCCAGTACCAATCGTGGCCACTTAGCATCTCAGAGGGATAGTTTTATGCTCTCCTGTCCTTCAGCCAATGAGAGCTGGACATCTCTGGGGTTCCTCTCTTGTTATGTTTATTATCTCAGAGGAAAAGATTTATGATTGCCTGTCCTTGACTCCAAATTTGCCTGACATTCCTGGGGTCCCTCTCTCCTGCCCTACTCATATCCAACTACCTACTGTAACACCAGGGCCAAATGGGAGGCAGCTAGAGACTACTCCTGCAAATCAAAGCCAACCAGAATTATTCAGACTAGTCAGTACTCAGATGTCGGCTCTGATCTGCCTTGCCTTTCCCATGGAAAACACAATAAAGGATCTGGTCTAGGCTTTCCCCTAGCTCTTGCCTCTTCCTTCACACTAAAACCTGTTCCTCCTGTGGCCCTGCATGGCATACTGTACTTCTGATTTCTAGGGAAATTCTGAGTAATGTTGAACTTTTATTTCAGTGGCATTGAGCTCCCCATGTCATTTTCTAATAAAGATCCATCCACAAATTGGCCTTTCTTGGCTATGTAATATTACATATCATTCCAGCACGTCTCGGTGCCTTCACCTTCTCTTTTATCCATTATGCCTGCCACATTCTAACATTCCATATAATTCAGCATTTTTTTTTTTTTTTCATATTTCCTCCTCTGTCTTTCTTGAGTACAGTGTAAGCTACTGGGGTCTCTCTCTTGTTTTGTAAATGCTTCATGCAGTTAAGATAGTGCCTGAAATACAGTAGGTGTTTATTCAACATTTGTTAGAACTATGAATAAGCATGAATACTACAGCATCCCTGTTCACCTTCACATTCCGATAGTGCTTTTTTTTTTTTTTTTTTGAGACGGAGTTTCACTCATGTTACCCAGGCTGGAGTGCAATGGCACGATCTCGGCTCACCGCAACCTCCGCCTCCTGGGTTCAGGCAATTCTCCTGCCTCAGCCTCCTGAGTAGCTGGGATTACAGGCACGCGCCACCATGCCCAGCTAACTTTTTGTATTTTAGTAGAGATGGGGTTTCACCATGTTGACCAGGATGGTCTCGATCTCTTGACCTCGTGATCCACCCGCCTCGGCCTCCCAAAGTGCTGGGATTACAGGCTTGAGCCACCGCGCCCGGCCCCCGATAGTGCTTTCTAAATGTTTTCTTTAGTTTTCTTTCCAGATATTAGTGTTTTCAAGAATGAAAGGAAGTGTGGCATGATGGCTCACATCTGTAATCCCAACTTTTTGGGAGGTTGAGGTGGGAGGATCCCTTGAGCCCAAGAGTTTGAGGCTGCAGCAAGCCATGATCATGTCACTACTCTTCAGCCTGTGCAACACAGCAAGATTCTGTCTCCAAAATTAAATAAATAAATAAAATTACATTTTGGAGAGTATACCCTGTTTGTGGTCATAGTTCTATCACAGCTGTGTGCTCAGCTTCATCTGCCTACTTCTCAGACTTCAGTATCTCCTGCTTGAATTTTGCTGTCAATTGTTTTCACTTATCACAGATGTTTGTCCAGATCCATTTCTTCATGTACCTGTGAATAACTACAGAATTATTATTATCAGTAATTTAAACAATTTGCAAATGTTTTTTTCTTTCTTTTTCCATGCATTTTGACCCCTTCTTTCATTTTTCTAACCATAAATAAATCTCAAGTTTTGATTCAGACACTGTCCCTGTAATTGCAGGTGAAATGAGAATCATCTCCCAGCCTAGAAATGTGATTCCAGTTTTCCAAATCTTTATTTCTTGGTACAGATACCACCTTTTCATTAGCACTACGTCAGCCCCTGTTTTGGCACATAAAGGCATTTATAATGGTTCTTCTTTTCAGATAAGAAACATTCCCAAAAGGAAATACATATATCTAAACTTGTGGACTAGGAACTCTCATTTTGATAACAGTATTGTTCCTTTGTTTGGACATTAGTGACTATATAGGCAGGAAAGTTACCTTTCTTGACCACCTTCTTTTGCCTGCCTTGGTTCTCCCAGGTATTTGTTTCTGAGGAAACCAGAGGAACTAACTACATTAGTCCACTTGCTTCAGGGAGCTCCAGCGTCCCTCCATAGCCACTGTCTGGAGACCATTCTTCTTCCACTCCATGGCCCTGCCTGGGGACAATTCTTGGTGAATCCTGACACAACTGAGGCTCACAAAATTGATCCAAAACTTTTCTCTACAGTACACATATTTTTGAAATGAAGGCAATCCAAGTGAACTATGAGTGGACTCAGAGTGACATTGGATGCTGTGCGTCCATCTGGTTTTGTGGCTTTGGGGAACATCTGTAAGAATATACCTCTCAATATTTCGGGGATCCCTAGAGACTTCACAGGATCTGGATGAAGGTCCTTTAAGAGGAGCGAAGCTACGCCCTGCCATCAGAGTCTCAGGGCATAATTTCCCAGCGCCCCTCACAGTACCATTTAGCCTTTGCCCAGCGCGCAGTGGAGTTAGAAGTCGTCTCGGCCAAGTGCACATGGGAACTACATTGCCCAGAAACCTCTGTGCCGCGTGGCGGCGGCAATGATGCGGGCGTTTCCCTGCGAGCGGAAGCTCTCTGGGCGGGACTTCCGGCATCTTCCTCGCCTCGGTAGTCTTGCAGGCTCTGAGATAGAAGCATTCGACTAGAAGCTTCGGGTTGTTGGGGGGTTTCCGAGGTGACGGAAACGGAAGCGGAAGCGGGAGGGTGGGGAGGAGGCGCTGTTCGCCCTGCAGAGTGGCTCGCCAGCGAAGACCCCGCCTCCGCCCCCCGGGGCCGGGTTATAGCGGCCTACGAACCTAATGGCGGCAGCCGCGGTGATGGGCCTGGTGCAGGTGGGTGCTGTGTTCCCCAGACTTTCGCCCGCGGGGAATCCTGAAGTCCCAAATCAGGAGCGGATGTCTGAGTCGCTGCAGCCGCAGGCGCTAGTGTCCGGGGCAGCGGGGCGCTGGTGGGGCCCCCTTCCTAAATCCGGCGTTTAAGGTGGGGGCGATTGTGACGGATAGAGGGGCAGGCTGAGCAGAGGCTCGGAGCCGGACTGACCCCAGAGCAGTCGGGAGCGTGTGTGAGCGGTAGTCACGCCTGCAGTAGCGCGGGGAGAAGTTGCGCCTTCATTGTGAGGACGATAGGCGTCACAGCGCGTTTTGAAGGGTGGAGGGAAGTCCGATAAAGCATTTTTAAAGTATTCATAGGTTCACTAAGGAGGAAACAGACTAGAGTGAGTTAGAAACGGTGAGGATGGGATTGGGGGAAAGGGACTGTAAAAAAATAAAAATAAATAAATTGAAAAAGAAACGGTGAGGATGGAGGCAGGGAGACCTTTAAGAAAGGCCCTGCAACAAACTCCAGGAGTGTTGCGGTGGTGGCTGGGCCTGAGTAGTGACAGGAGGGGTTGGGGTTGGGGTTGTTTAGCGCGTTGCTTGGTAAAGAGACTCCCAGGCAGGCTTCATGTCCGCCACGAGGCTGTTTAATTTAGCGCTTGGGTGCAAGCGGGCCAAGTCCAAGATAGGAGTTAGGCAAGGGGAGTAGGAAAGGGGACCGATTTTATAGGTTGGTGCAAATGGTCAAAGATGGTAATTTATTTTAGGGAGGGGAAGGGCGTCACGGGATGCATGGTCACAAGGGTGGGGGTTATCTATTACTAGCTGGCATAGTCATAAGGGTGGGGGTTGTCTGTTGCTAGCAGAGGGGAGGATGTGGTAAATTACAAACAGTGGTGGCGATCTTGAGAAACCTGATGTCTAGGGGAAAATTTCGCAAGGCTGAGCAGGAACAAGGGTCAGACATTGTAGGGGGAGAGCAATAAGTTGAGGCAAGAACTCGTTTCACTTCTCTTTATGGCCATCCGGTTACTTCAGACTTTCTGGCTCTTGGAGACCATTTGGAGGTGTATGTGCAGGTCACCAAGGATATAATGGCCAGGCGTGGACATGGAGGCCTGACATTCCTGTCTTCTTATATATGTATAAAGAAAAGGTTTAAAAAGAGAAGGGAGTAGGGACGATGTTTCTCAAGGCTTCTTTAAGCATGACAGGGGGCTGCGTGTATACCTGCGTATATAAAATAAAAGTCTTTGATTTTTGTAGTTTAGTAAGTGTTTAGTTAAGTCTTTGGCTTAGGGCACCATTTTAAGTATTTAACAAGGTGCCAATTAGCATATTTTTGAGCTTGAAATTTTCCTAATAGGGTGAATTTTCTAAAAATAGCCTTTAAACATAATAGTTTTAATGGGGGTAGTGATGAAGCCTTGGGCCAAGGTTGGAATAGTATCCAGTCTACCAATGCTTTTTGTCCCCATTTTCAATCATATGAATAAGGCTGCTTGTCGTCAAGCCAGTAATCTGTTATATTACCCTTTTCCCATAAGTTTAAGTGGTGTTCTGAATGGAGGAGTTCAATAGTTCTGATTGCTGACCCTATGCAAGAGAGATAAGTAATACTCTTTATCTCCTGAGTTGAGCTGAGGCTGGCAAAAGGAAAAGTGTCCCAAGCCCTCTAATAGCCATTGGTATACTTTGTGGTGACCTGGATGTTGGTTTGGCTGCCAAATGTGGGGTACAGGCTCTGTATATGTGTACTGCAGTTTATCTTCATAAACTTGGGCCTGGGGACACCATGGGCAAGTGTCTGATGGCTGCCACCCCATTACGTCTTAAGATTTTTTTCCCAGAGGCTTTTCAATTCATGGGTAGGGAAGATTCTTGAGAATAGAATACTATTATGGGGAGTTGATCCTAGAAGACTTGGATTGAAAGGGATATGTGTGGGTTCTGGAGAGGTATTAAACTGCATCTTGACCTTAGCCAGGTGTTACCTGGAATTCTTTTTTAATTTATTTATTATTATTTATTATTATTATTTTTTTTAAAAAAGATGGGGTTTCACCATGATGGCCAGGCTAGTCTTGAACTCCTGACCTCAGGTGATCCATCCACCTTGGCCTCCCAAAGTGCTAGGATTACAGGCATGAGCCACCGCGCCCAGCTGCCAGGAATTCATGAGTGGTGAACTGGTGTTTGTGGTTGATCCTAGAAGAGTGAAGGCTATGAAATAGGACTGGAGACAAGGCAGGCAAATGAGCCAGAAGGATTGGTAAGGCGTCTTGTCTTAAGCTGCTGAGAGGTCCTGGGACAGGGGTTGATATTGTCGGGTTGTTAAAAGTAGCATTTGCCATATGCAGTGAGTAGTAATGGCCTGGATATGGTTTTGTAGGAATTGAGAGACTAAGTGGAAAATGCAAGATTTGAATAGGAGGTGAAGGAAGATGGTTATTAGGAGAGTAAGGATCGGAGAAAGCCATGACATCCAGCAAGAAAACAGCCAGGTGGGTTTGGCATAGTTATTTGCCGGGTTAGTAAATTTCTGGGCTCTGTCTTTGAGCCTTCTGATATTACCATAAACTAAGCTGGACTGATTTAAGTAAAAGCAGCATTCCTCATTTAGAAATATACAGAATCCTTTCTTTTCTGAAGTAAGTAAGTCGAGTCCATGAAGGTTCTGGAGGACAGCTGCAGCTAAAGAATTAATTTGAGCCTGAAGGACAGATAAAGTATTATATATGTCAGTAATGCTAGCAGAGAAATCAATAGACTACAGAATGTTGTGACAGAGGGGGTGACCCCCACTATGCCAGTTCTGAGGCCCACAATGGAGGTCGCAAACCCTGTTCCTAGGAGTAATGGAATTAGCTGGATGAATCTTTTTTGTCTAGTGGGTGTCATTAGGGGGACAGGCAGTTGTTTATTACCATTGGCAAACTGTATTTTAGGAGTAAGGAAGACTAAGGCACAGGTGCCTGTACAGTTAGTAGGTAAACACATATAGGTGGAGGATCCATATAAGAAGAGGCCTGGGGCAAGGCAGAATTGAAAATGTAGGGTGAAACGGTGGGAGGGAGCTTTGAAAGGGGAGTCAGATATACCCAAAGTCCTAAAGATCCAGTAAGGACAGTAGCCTTTAGAGGTTGAAAGGGAGATTGATGGGGGAATCGTGTAGTGGGAGTGGTCTGATTTTCATAATGTATGAGGAAGCACGTAGTATCAACAAATAGTCTGCTACTAACATTTGTAGGGCCATGTATGAGTAAGCATAAAAAGGGTCTAAGAGGAGAATCCGAGGAACAAGGAGACAGTATCCAAGGATGGAATGAGAGACAAGGAAGGTGCTGACCTGGACAGTAATGACTGTTAACATTTTTGAGGTTATTAGTGATAAAGGGTTTGTCAGTAAAGTGAAGTGAGTATGCTCCTGCAGCCATATTACCATGTGAGTCAGGGCCTTGGAGATGGAGAGTAAAGGAGCACTTGGAAAGGGGAAGGTTACACAAGGGAATTACATTGGTTCGTTGATGGGAAATGCATAGAGGAGCAAGAGTGGGGATTCGTGTCTGTGTAGTAAGGGTTCCTAATATGGGCGGAGTGGAGTTCATATGAGGTAAGAGTTGCTGTAGATAGTTGAGGACAAGTATGGCAGCTTGTTGGTATGAAATGTCTGAGGAGGTTTTCCTAAACTTGTCTAAGAAAAAGAGAGGCTCCCTGGGAGGGTAGAGATGGGGACTGTTAAAAGAGATGCAGAGGTATAGGGAGATGGCAGAGGTAGCCCAGTCGGCTGCAGGGCAGGAATAGCGGTATAAGAGGAAGAACAAAGGGAGATGAAGAGCCAGCAATTTTTCGCCAACAATGGGTTGAAATTAGTGAGAAGGAAATGGGTTAGATTGATGGTGTGTTGAAGGTAATTAGGAAGGGATAGGGAGTTACAGAATGGGACTGAGAATAAGAGTGAGTAGAAGAGTAAAGAAGAGGACTTCATTAGGGTAAAAGAATTGGAGTGTCCCTTGCCACATAAGGTTATCTATCCATTCAAGGAAGGAGTCAAGGGTGAGAGTTTATGGGTAGAATTAGGAGATGTCAGCTAAAATGCTCTCGAGGAAAACAGTAAACCAGCAAGGCAAGCAGGCATAGGGCATTTAAATGTAGATGAGAAGGGTGATTAGAAGTATAGTTAGACAGAAAGCAACAGAAATAGAGAGCTTGTGAGGTATAGACCAAGCTTCAGGGGTGACTGTGTAGAGTCCTGCTGCAAATTAAGAGGAGGATTCCTGTTGATGTTGAAATATAAACTAAACTCATGTGGTTTGTGTCTACTCTTCAGGAATTTGAGTAAGCTTAAGAGAAGCAGGAGAGAGTACTTGTGACTTTCAAGAGGAGGTGGATGGGCTAGGCTGGTTGTCTGATGGGCACAGTTTAATCCTGGACCGGTGAACCCAGTGGGGAGGGTTTTGTAGATGAACAGCAGTTGGAGTACTGTAGACAACCAGGTAGGGGCCCTTCCACTGAGGCTGTAGAGCTGGAAAGGTTAGATCGTTGACCAGCATTTATCATCCAGTTAAGGTGTCCTTATAAGGCCGTGTATCTGGAGTAGGGAGGAGGTTAGCAGCTTGATGAATTTCCTGCCTATTTTGTTGTAAAATGGGAAGATAGTCTCCAGGAGGGCTAGAGTCTGGGAGAAGGTTAGGCCCAAGCAAAAAGGTGCAGCCATGTAAGAGTTCGAAGGGAGGCTGGGCGTGGTGGCTCACGCCTGTAATCCCAGCACTTTGGGAGACGGAGGTGGGCGAATCACAAGGTCAAGAGATCGAGACCATCCTGGCTAACATGGTGAAACCCCGTCTCTACTAAAAATACAAAAATTAGCCGGGTGTGGTCGCATGCACCTGTGGTCCCAGCTACTCAGGAGGCTGAGGCGGAAGAATTGCTTGAACCCAGGAGTCGGAGGTTGCAGTGAGCCAAGATTGCGCCATTGCACTCCAGCCTGGTGACAGAGCAAGACTCCATCTCAA